TATGCTGGTATGATGTCTTTATGAGTTGATTTCCAATCGCATCTGCATTAGTAAACCAACTGAAGGTACTAGAGTATAACTAAGAAGAGAAATAATTCCAAGTAGTGTTTCAGCTAGTTTGTTAAGTTCAATACAGTTTATCTAGTTGCAAGAAGATTTTCTCGACCTTATTACTGTTTTTCCATGATATGATTTAATGAAACTACTAATACAAATGAGTTGTCATCAAGAATCCTTTTAATATGTGAAAATATTAATAACCATGTGAATTCACGACAGAAACTTGACAATAACTCGCTAACCATGGAAGAGTTGGCGAGAGACATGCTACAGTCTCAATGATTTGTTGTGTAATAAACTGATTATTTATAATCTTACTTACGTGCTGATAATGCATACAAATTATTTGCAAGCATCTTGTTTGGTACAAGGTAGAAATCAACTTATTCGAAATAGAGGCTCATGTGCCACAAATATAGGTGATGTTGTACGATGCTTTCTGTCAAATCAGAAATTACAAGATGATAAACAGTGAATGCAGATCATGTGATTATCACGGAGAGTATAAATTGTAGCTAAATATTCCAGTAGTGAAGACATTTTACTAATTAGAAATTGTTATATTGAATATTAATTATTCCACTGTGACCTGAGATGTATTTGTTTTACTCAAGTATATCAAGTATCGGACTCTCGTTGACTAACTATTGCTTTTGTTGCTTAGCACGTTAGTTTGTATTAAAGAAATCCTTGACTGTATAGCATGTGCTGTGCCGTTTGAGGTATTTTGTACATTCGGTATAATGTATTCTCTTTACCAAATCAGGACCATTTAAGTTTGGGCAGAGTTTGTGTTTTGATATAATTTAATGTTACTCAAAACGCTTCGTACGCTATACAGAAGAGCGTATTCTGGTCTAACCGAATAAACTATGGTTCGTTAGTTCTGCGTCCGGACTGAATATTGGCATCTTGGTCGTTACATAGGCTGTTTGAAAATGGTGAGCAGCTGTAGAATAGTTGAAGGTCAGCTGAAATGCTCCTTAAAATGTTTCGACCGTCGTTCTAAACGTTTGGGCTGAGAGTAGATGAGATTGGCCTATTTTCCCAAGGTCGTCTTACTTACACTTGACTTCTTAATTCTAGTTTCATTTGTTAGTCTGAAAAGATGTCTAGTGTTACAGCCACTACCTTTTCCATCATTTTGATTTCATTGACCACCACTGCTCACAGTCGGTCCTTATACTTTTGGCTAGCCTATATCTGATTTATTTACGCTCTTCATTATATTCAGAGTCTAATGAGATGAGTTCACGAGAATCCATCGATGCGATAGACTTAGTGGAAACCCACTAGTTCTTTGTGACCCGTTGGATCAAATCACCAGATGACTCTCCTTTTTCAATAGCTCATCGTATATCGTTCCAAGCAACAGTTGAGTCAGCTTCGTTTTCAGAACTACCTAAGTGTGGTCTCGATTGTTCATGGAATCTATTTCTGGCTTTCTCATTACCTATTTTAACACTAATATGTCTTCATAATGCGGTTTTTCTGCGTCCAATAAAGGACAGGCAAATGCAGGCTCGTATTAGAGCATGATAACAGCCTAAACAGGTACTCAAGAACGAGCGGCAATCTTGTAGAATTATTGTTTAAATCGTTGTTAGTAATAGACCTAATCCTGAGGTTGTAGATTCGTCATGATGTGACTGTCTATAAGATCTCATATGGAAGTAATATCATTGTCTACCCTGACTCATCGTATTTTCGTGCCTTAAGGTAACCATCATGCTAGTGATAGAAGAAACCAGACAATAGTGAATAGGTCTTTATTTCGATCTTCGCGTAGTCACAGTGGAGCGTGGGATTATTTGTTCAGACAAACAAAGACTCTCATTACTCGATATAAGATAATAGGAAATAAAACGCCTATACAAAATAAGGAAATGAATGAATACTTGAACTATATTGTTTTGGCATATGCTTGGTTGTTTGAGGTTGACTCTTAACCAACCAACCTACGCTGTTGCAGTATCATGGCAATCGTCAATATAATGTGCAGCACTTCTGAAGAGCAAACTTAGCTGGGAATTAGGTGATATATTTTGGGGAACGGTATGAGTTTCACAAGGGTGAACACGCCTACAAGGCTGATTCACGCCATACCGATTACTTAATGTGCCTCCTTCATCACTCTCGACGTTCTCTTAGTGTTATGTTTTGAAAGAGACTTCCAGGTAATTATATGTTCAGCCCCGAAGACCATGTGGTTAAGAACTAATACTACTAGTCTCCTGCTGAGCCTCTCCGACCCAGTCTAAGGAATTGAAGGGACGAATCGACTACGGATCCAGAGGTCTTGAATACCGCTTAAGTTATGAGGGGGGTTATAACCTCTCGGTTGCTCACACTGTGGAAGGGTTCTTTTAGAAGTACCTGAAAATCGGATTAGAGGTGATGTTAGTTACCTGAGAGTGTGAACGCAGTGCCTAACGGACAACTGCTTGAGGTCGGTCACACACGACCTTTTTGTAATTTTCGCGTTAGTGTGATAGTTGTTTAGACCTTACCGCCGGAGATGGATATCTGTGGGATTCGAAAAGGTGTGCATTTTTAGAGTCAAACTTTTCTAATTCCACCCCTCCATGTAAGAGGGCAGCATTGCTGTTATACTGTTTGTCTGGAGGAAACATCTTACTGTCGTCAAACCTCTATACAGTCAGTTGTACGACTTCGCCTTCGGACCTTTGACTAGCTGCCTTTAGTCTTACCGTTCGTTAACCGACCTGTTTGACATGGCACGACCTTGAGAAACGATTATTCCAGCAAGTATAACTCGATTGGTTTATCACGGTAGGCAAGCTCGATCACCGCATCAAGGTAGCGGGATCGGTTAACACAAATGAAGAACACCCGACAAAATTAGAGTGAATACTGGAAATAATAACAGGTTTATTTGGTCGATATCATCAATCTAGTATTGTGATCTAATTGGATATCAGTACATTTATCTTTGCCACGACAACAATAGACCGAACCCGTAAATTGTATACATATCATGATATGACTACCTAATCCATAAGATCTTACGTAAAAGTCACACCATAGTCTGCATTCGTTCGTCCTTTTGTGAAGATCAGCGACACGAACTCTAACATTTCAGAAGAACACATTTAGACTAGCTAGAGAGCAATATACTTGATACAAAAACAATAGGTTATATTAAGTGGCCGCTCTATGTTTGACAGAGCCATGCCCTTTCCATTAAATGTTTCCACGTTCACCATTTTGATCTTCTCCTAATGTTAATTATTGAATGTTAATCACAGAAATTATATGCTCAGCCTCAAAGGTCGTGTGGTTAGGGACCAATACCACTATAGGTTTAATACACTGAATCTCCATCAAAACAGCCTGAATATTTCTTCACCATAAACCACATTGTTCTGGTCACAAGTAATAGTTTGTCACATCACTTATCATCGTCCTTGCTTTCAATTAACGCTGCTATTGACCTAAGATGAAACGTCTCTACCAGACCATTGACGAGAGAAAAATATACACTTGTGTGCATATATACTTGGGCACCTCAGTTTCTGGAACGGTTGACTTTCGATCGACAACAACCTCTCTGCAATTATCAAAGACAGTACTCGGAGTATGTCCATTATTAACAGAGTAGAGTCGTATTACAAATAGTTGCAGGTATGAGTTAATAACAATTCGAGGAAAAGTTTAGTAAGATGGGAAAAAGAAATATGGTATTAGAGACTATAACAGTCAAGCAGCTGCGCAAACTTAACAAAGTGCGACTGAAACATAAAGAAACTGCCATCGGCAGCCATGACATAGGGTCAAGTAATCTAATGACTCATAGTGATTCGTAAAAAAATGTTGAATATTGAGACTAGATTTCTTATCTAGATCATTAGGAATGTTGCGGCCGAAATGGATAATCAAACCCACTAGCTTGCTAAAAATTGGAGATACGTTTTATTCTTTGGAAACTGACACAAATCCCACTCTTGTCTTAAATTCAAGCTGGGACGTTTTGCAATTCATTATACAGTCTTAGAATGGATAAGTAACTTTCTCCATGACGGGAGACAAAGGGTAGGGGTTTAATGGGGCTCTCTCGTGGGTACATGTAAAAAGTGGAGTTCCCCAAGGTAAAATCCTCGATCTTCTTCTTTTTTTGCTTTATGCAAATGAATTGCCAGCTGTAGCGAAATCATCCTTTTCACTCTTCGCTGGTGATATAAATATTTGGAGACCCATACACAGTATGTCGGATAGAATATTATTACAGAGTGATCTTAGCTCATTTGTGGCATGGTTGGATAGGTAGTCACTAGAAGTAAATCCTAATAAGAGTGTAGTGATGCAATTAAATAACTATAATGTACTGTATCACTATGCAATATGTGGATTCGTGCTACCCAAAGTAAGAAACTATAAAGATTTAGGAGTCATATTAAGCAGTGATCTCAAAGCCACTAGTCACTGTAAGACTGCTGCTGCGAAAAGCTATAGGGTACTATGGTCTATTCCTAGGTCTTTCCAGTATTTAGATGATGAAATGTTTAGATTATTATACCCGACATCTTAACTTATTTCCGTTATCTTACCGTAGAATACGGGGTGATCTAATATTGGCTTATCATATACTCAACGATGACCTTGGTATTAACATGTCTTATCTTTTACGTCCGCCTAGGATTGACCATTTGAGAGGACATTCGAAGTAAGTTCAAAAACCGAGATCAAATCGCTTACGTCTGTAGTTTCGTTTCTCGCAACGAGTAGCGAATTACTGGAATTCTCTACCGGAACACGAAATATCAGCACCTTCTGTTGATATATTCAAAACGAGACTGGACCTTCACAGTATTACAGACTCTAAGGATTAATATAGGTCGATAGACTTCCTATCCTTATTACTGAGGACTGAAGTTGTTCGAGGAGATATTGAATATTGGATTCAAGTTCATGTACTAGGCGGGAGATTCGCCATGTCCAAGCTAATTGACGAATTGGTGGCCCATGGCTTTGAAGTTATTCGTGATGATTCTGGACAGGATCTTGTTAAACTTGTATTCATGGATGAAAATGACGACGCTACGGGATGTGCTTTAGTTACACCAGAGGATGCCAAGAAAATTTTGTCTGGTCAAGCAACATTACAAAATGCTGTAGATGAAGACGGCAAACAGGTCTTAACTCTTACTCCAATAGCTGACAGTGACTTAGAAGTGGTTGAACAGGTGAGTTGTTTTCAGAAAAAGGGTGTCTAAGGCCCTCATTGATAGTCTAAAGCAGATCTGCCTAGTGAACACTCAACCTCTGTTCCTGCGGAACTGGATGATCCTGAACGTCATAAATCGAGCAGCGAGGAAGTCATCGATAAAGACAATAATGAGGCCACACAGCCATGCAAATCAACTGTTTCTGACCTTTGCTGCGATGTGGGTGACTCCTTAATCAATTCAGGAGAGATTGATGCGTCTGACGTTAATTCGTTGGTGGAAAATGTGGAACAGTATACTTTAAGCGAACAAACAGCGGTAGTGGATAACGGCCAAGTTCAAGTTGTCACAATCGTGGATTCTCGTGGCCAAGTTTTGGATCAGAAGCAAGGACAAACTGGAGAACAAGTCATTTTAGAAATGCATGGACAGGCATTTTCGTACGAAATTCAGGGTCCCACGTCAACTGGTGAACCTATAACTGTAATTTGCTTTTACCTTTTGATTTTTACTCCTGTTTTTTGGGTGAAATAAGCATACTCTGTTTTGATGTAAGCAGTAGTTGCGAGTTCTGCATATTAATGTGTCACTCCTCGTAGAGCACAGACCGACGACCAGGGATCTCCAACTTACCTTATCCCTCGGCTCTCGAGCGAATACCTTAATTTGAATGTAGCTTTTATGTTAGACCTACACGTTTTGTTACACAGTATGTATGACCATGTTCAGACATTTTTGACAAAGAGAACACGTACTTGAATCGCGTAGTGGGGACAAAAAGCCGTTTGCTCTACGTGAGATAATCTCATATCTTACTGTTTAAAGTTCATCAGCATGTACTGTGAATTCACCATACAGTGGTTCTGTTAACCGAAAGCTCGGTGAAACTCTACTTTATGGACGACCTTTGAACGAATTTTTAAGTGACCTTGAGGACATTAGCCAATCAGAAGAGAGTTAGTATGAAGTGAAAATATATAATAAAAAAGTGATGAATTACAATGGATATTCTTCTTTTACATTATTTAAGAACTTGTTAAGGTTTGATATAGGTCCAGAAGTTTTGAAATCATAGTGCATGCGGTATAGGAACTCGTCCATATGACTCCATAATAATCGTCCTCTGGAGCCGTGGTAGGGTCTTAAAAAATACTTCAGCCTAGACCACATGCCTTCAATGTTGTTTGTATGGACCCCCCGTCGTTGGATCAAAGAAATGACGTTTGTGCACCACCACATGATGCACAAAACCAAGTCTCGAGAGGCATCTATACGCTTTCCAATCATCGGTATAGCCGCAGCTAATGTTACTGGAGACTTTATGATCCAATTTGCAACGATTATCATGGTTTGTCTTAGCCTTAGCCGTGACCGGTCATAAAAAGTGCCAGTTCGAGCAGATTTTTTTCTACAACATATAGTACAACGAAATACAATGTCATCGCGACAGTCTGCACATCGTGCTGCGGTCATTTAATTGCCGCAGTCACAGACACAGGAACTTCTTAACAGTGCCATCTGCTGTAGTCTCTCAACGATCACCTATTCTCTAAAATCTGCTGTAAAACGATCGAATGTGAGCATCTCGCACTGAACTTAGCGCCGTGACCTTGAAATTCCATAGACGCTTCTGATTGGCTCGTCCATAAATTAGAGTCCTACCGAAAGCTCTTATATCAGTATCCGACTAGAAAGTTTACTCCATAAGCATATTATTACTCTTCGGATTCACGTTTCGTTGGAGGAAATATGGAGTTTCGTCATTAGGGAAAAGGACAGTGAATGGGTCATTCGGATATGGTATACTTAAAATTTCTATCTAGTTGGACAGTGAGGTAGGCGAACATAGCTTCCTAGTTTTCTGTAACTGATCTCATGTAAAAGTTCTCTGGTCTATCTAGCATAGATAGCTGTTAGATAAGAATGCTGAATTCTGAATTGAGCTTGGAGTAGTTTTATATGCATAATACATTTATTTTAAGATTGATCTAGGTTCTAGTAGGTTGATCATCGGTATGTCAAATACGCACAAGATTTGACATCGCCCCATATATTTGGTGCCGACAAAATACTTGATTCTAAACTTGTTTTGGTTTGTGTAGATGTATTATGTCGAGACTATTGTAGGTGAATTACAGTTATACTCAGTGAAATAAAACCAAAAAATCAATGCGGTTCCAAGCAAAAATATTGTAAGCCACGTGAGTTTGTTTTGCTTGAATTATGGCTCAACTATCCGTTACACATTAAGTCGTTGTCTTTCTAGAATATGTTGAATTTTTTTATCAATCTTATTATGATTGTTTACATTAATTTGGTTTACGTGTTGACCTTAGTTTTTCAGTGTAAATATCGGAATATGAACATATAGGTTTGTGCCAAGTCATACACCTTTCATGTATGCTTTTGGTTTTACGGTTATGTCTACGTGTGTCTACATGTAATATTGAGGTGTGAATTATATTGGCTACATATTATTCTAAGAGTTAGTCTTTATCTTTCTCGATTAATAAACTTTACTCGACTTCTAAATTATATTTTTTTAATACTGTATTTGACCACCTTTTCCAGTCCACTCTGTTAATTTCCACAAATGATCAAGATATCCAAGATGTTTCAAACACCGCTGAAGGCGTTACACAGCAGAATATCAACGGTCAAACCAACTGGTCTGAAGTAAGCCTATGAAACCTAATTTACATTATCCAGTTTTATGTCGGTTAAACTAACTCGTGTACGTATCACAGAAACCATCCATTCGTCATATTTTAAAATCTTTGAACGGTTCTTACGGTATGTAGCTATTTAAGCTTTATCTGTTACATGAGAGCCATTAACAAGCTGTTCGTACAGACGTTAAATTGAACATTCATTGAATACCCGACCATTATTACACATTGGAGAGTATGGACCAACTGTTCTCGACATTGATATACAGTTTTCTGTTCGTTATTTTGTACTATAAGGTTAACATCTGAAATAACTGTAATGTCTTCTGGGGATCTCATTCCCGTGACCTTTTGATCTAGTTTCCATTCTCTTTTAGTACTTACAATTTACATTGCCACTATGTTAGCAGGATTTGAGGCATATTCGATTCAGGACGCTAGTGCTCACTGATTGGTCCGTTTTCTAGTCCATCAGCGCTAGCGGATAAACAGATAACATTTTAAAATGTGTAAAATAACAGATATATTAGCATTTTCGGTAAGACTAGTCTATGAATGACCTTTAAGTGATGCAGAGTGACCTTGAGAAGATTCATCTACTTAACAGTCAAAAGAGGATTGTAAACTAGTATGAAAAATTAAAGTTAGGATTAGGAGCTAAAAATTACGGTTAGGAATTACAGCTAGGGTTTTCATCATGAACTGACATCAGCTATGATGCCAAATTGCTATTTAGCCATATGGATGAATGAATTTTGCGCTAAAGTCCGAGAGTTGCTATTTTCAATCTGATTGGTTCTTCCATAAATTATAGTCTCGCTGTCTGTTTCGTTCTCATACACCAAGAATTTTTGAGATATGATTACTCCACAACAGCCATTTTTGTTGTTTGACTTTGGCTCTTTCAATACAGTCCTCTATTCGGATCAGGCTACAACTGAGTTAGATTAAGAATTTCGAAAATTAGCCTTGGTGTCTGATGCATCTTAAAGGTCCACATTTAGTTCACTAATGAAGAACTGCGAATAAATTTTTGGTTTCTTGCTTTAAATGGATAGTATAGTTGTACATGTCCATTTTGGTTACGTGTTTAATTTTTGATAAGGGTGTTTCTAATGGCGCTGATAGAAGCCATGTTACTTCTGGATTTGATGAAATAACTGATGCAAATCCATCTGGTCAACAATTCACTCTTACTGAAGCTACTACTTTAGTGGACGGGGAGGCACTTCAAATTGTTATACTTTCTGATGAAAACGGAAATGTACTTGATCAGAAGCAAGGTCACACTGGTGATCATGTCATTATTGAAATGAACGGCAGCTCTTTAGAGTATGTATTTCTTGGACCAACGGAAACTGGTGATCCGATTTTGGTAAGTCTGTTGTGTCTAAATGCATGTTTCTACTAAAGTTTTACGAATTTTAGCTGGTGAATTGACTTTACAGTGTCTAAAATCAGATTAATATCAAGGGTAGTATTAATTTCTTACTCCATATTCTTCCACAGTTTCATGCTGTACCATTTGCTATTCAATTAGAACTCAGCTATTGTAAATGAGCTCCAAATTACAGAAAAATCCGTTACATGATCAAGAGTTGTAACACAATTTGCGAACGTATTCGGACTATTGATAAGTTTGAATGGGAATCAAAATACTGTAACCTGGCTAAATCCCAGCTCCTTAACTCTAATCCCAAAACTCTTAAACGTGATACTCATATTCTCAACACTCCTAACCCTAACATACGGAGCTTAACAGCCTATTTCACAAGAAGATCGTCATCCAGTGCTTTCAAAATACGGGTTATAGTTGAAATCATGATTTTCAGCAACGAGCAATCTTCGAAAGCGTTTTAAGTTTGCGTTAATACTAAACATAGGCCAGCTTAATTTTAATTGCTCAAGCCCGTCGGTATAGTGTAGTTTTACCTTAATTTATTCTTAAAATATGTTGTATTCAAGATTAAAACATTTTTAGCACTCGGGTCGAAAGCATCATACTTTTGTTTTGAGTGCCAGTTATTTTTAATGTGTTTTATCTACGTTGAATTTCAACAATGTGTTTTCTGTTTATGTCATATATATGTATATGTATATAATATTGAGCCAACTGCTACTTGTTCTTTTTACTTAATATTCTAGCTAATGTCTTGATATTTGTCTTGTAGACTACCTTAGTCGTTACAACTGAAACTGAAATGACAGAAAATACTCAGCCTAACTTCAGTGTTGCACAGGAATCACCGGGTGATACAGAAGCAGGATCAACTGTAGCTAAATGGTGTCCACCCGGCCTGCCATCTGAGTTTTATGCTATATTAAGAAGACAAGCGGAAGTCGTCGTTTCTACGCGTGTTCCACGCTTTTCAGATAATCCGTATCGTCCTGAACCTTACCATCGGAAGCTTGGTCCGTATACAGCTTATGTAGAGATGCTTGAAATGGTTAATACATACAGGGTTGGTGCTAGTCAGGGTGAAACCCTGGAACTCTATGAAGCCTTAAGAAATTATGCTAAAATTTATCGTCCTTCTGGACCACATTCTCGAGCACTTACAAAGTATGAGGTTAGTTTTGTAAAGTAAGAATAAAATTAACAGTTTAGTACGATGTGTAGAATATGTCATGATATTGTGTTTTACACAAAGATTTTCCAAACTATTATAATCCGGTGTATTCATATGGTTGTCGATAACGTCCAGTTATCTGATGGATAAAGAATGTAGTATGAATTATTTAGATTTATTTGTTACGACTATTGATTTATGTGTATATGTTTATTAATTCTATGGTCCGACTATAAATCTTTAAGAATACAATCATTTTAAAAAAAGTCCTCTCAGTCATTATCAATTTAAACCATTCGATAAAATAGTTCCACTTCTTAGTCATATTTCAGGAAATTTGATTTCTATAACTTAATATACTACTGTGTTGTAGGAATTTGCCGTACTTTATGTAGATAGGAAAATGAACATTTGAATCTCTTTTTCATTCACTCTTCCTTCACTGTTTTGATAAAGCTAGTTGACAAACAAATTCAAAATATATATGTAAATTCTAGCCATCTAATTTGATGTTAGTGCAAAGTAGTCAGATAAAGATTTACTGCGGTTTTTAATTACTTGAATGTACTGAACGGCCGTTTCGTCCTAGTGCGGTCCAATGCTTTCAGGATTTTCAAGGTGGTCTAGCTTTAATCAACTCATGAATTCACCTATTAAATTATTGCAATCTCCACAAAACCCCTTTCTGATTTTAATTACTTAATTAATTTATTTATTTGAACACATAAATATTGGTACAAGAGAGGGCCAATATATATGCGCCACACAAAACAATGGGAATTCGAAGAGAAAAAAAAAAACTAAGGAACGCAAAAGAAAAAGAGAGTAATGACGAAGAGGTACAATCAGAAGAAATCTTTCAGGTAAAGGAGACACAACCACTTTTTATGAAGAAAGTAAAAGAAGGTTACAGCAGGATCGCCACTGGCTTCTATTCTGAGCCATATCTGATAACGTCTCTAGCCACTGTGTAGCACCATCTCTCGGACCCCAACCAGGGAGTCGTGAAGGACCAACACAAGCCAGTCCTTTGCAGCTTTCTTTCATGCCACGACACCATGTCATGCACTGACCACCTCTCCGCTTCTTCCAACCAGTCCCAGAGTCGGCAAATAATGCACGACGTGGAATTCTCTGGGACGACATTCGGAGAACATGTCCAAGCCACCGAAGTCGGTGTTTCAAGATGGTGACACCAATTGAGTTATCATCTCTGTGCCCGAACACACGATGCCGAACCTCTGCATTACTGACATGGTGTTGCCACTGAATGTCAGCAATCCTTCGGAGACAGCGATGATCGAACACAGAGAGTCGTCTAACGTCCTCAACTCGGAGAGGCCAGGTTTCACAAGCATAGAGCAAAACTGCTCTCACCGACGCGTTGTAGATCCGGCCTTTTACAGCCAGACTAACATCACGAAGGCGCCAAAGGTGGCCCAGATTGGCATAAGCCGCTCTGGCTTTCACTATTCGTGCATTGATCTCATCACTCACACCCCCACCAGCACTTATGCAGCTACCCAGATACACGAACTTCTCAACTACGTCTATCTGCTCACCATCCAGGGTGAGTACAGGATTAGAATCCTGCCAGTCTTGTAGAAGTACTTTGCACTTCGAAGGTGCAAAGCACATACCATACCTACGGACACTGATTGCCAACTGATTAAGTGCGCATTGCATGCCTTGGGCATTATCGCACAGTAAGACAATATCGTCCGCATACTCAAGGTCGAGAAGTCTTTCTCCAGGCAACAGATCCACACCACCATTACTTACATTCATCAGAGCTGTTTCCAGAATGTCATCGATGGCAAAGTTGAAGAGGAATGGTGAGATTGGGCAACCCTGCCTAACCCCACTGCTCGAATGGAACAATGGAGAGAGGTGGTTGTATGCCCTCACTCTGCCTGAGGTGTTTTTATATAGGGCTTTTAGGATGTTAATAAACTTCTCAGGCACACCCTTCTTCAATAGACAATCCCAGAGAACAGTCCTATCCAACGAATCGAAGGCAGCCCTGATGTCAAGAAACACTACGATTGTTGGCCTTTGAAAAGTATGGCGGTGTTCTAACATTTGGCGGAGGGTGAAGATATGGTCAATACATCCTCGACCAGAACGAAACCCAGCCTGCTCCTCGCGAGTCAATCTTTCTCGGGTTTTGAACAACCTACGAAGAATGACGGAAGCCAATAGCTTGGACGCAATCGGAAGTAAACTTATCCCCCGATAGTTGTTACAAGAACGACGTGAACCCTTTTTAAAGATAGGGACAACTATCGACTCATTCCATGACGTTGGTACACTCTCTAGTTCCCAAACCTTTGTAAACAACGTCGTCAATTCCTTAGTCAAAAAGTCACCACCATCTTTAAAAAGAGTCGGAGGTAAGTCATCTGGGCCAGGTGATTTGTAACGCTTCAAGAGTTGGAGTTCCTTGCGGACTTCCTCCTCGTTTGGTGGATCAGTCGTCACCGGCCATGGAGGGCAGGACAGTCTGACCGATGTTGCCGGAGCAGCAGGCCAGTTGAACTGCCCTTCGAAAAATTCTGCCCATCGTCCAAGACGTCGATGGATGTTAGTGATTGGCATCCCATCATCCTCGCAGATTGTTTCACTCACACCAGACTTCTTGCTGCCAGTGGCTCGGATGAGCTGGAAGAGCTTCCGGTAGTTACCAGATGCAGCTGCTGCTTCCAGCTCATTAGCACGCATCGACCACCAGGCTTCTCGGTCCTTACGCAAGCTTTGCCCGATTTCCTTACGTAAAATCCTTCGTTTATGGTCAAACTCACGGTTACCCGGAGTAGACCGACGGGCTTCAATGAGTTGTAAGGAACCAGAAGAAACCCAGTGCTTAAAAGCGGGACGTTTCGCAAACCCACAACTGACTGTTCCCGCCATTTTCATGGCGTCATGCAATTGCAACCAATGCTCATCTATACTTTTCGGTGGAGTGGTAGCTAGCCTAGAGGCTAGCTCGGTTCGATACTTACTTGCAACAGAAGTTGCAACCAGCTTGCTAACATCAATCCGTTGATGGCGTTCACTTCGTTGTCCACTGAAAAGTAAGGCAAGATTGGCGCAGACCAAGGCATGGTCAGAGTCCAGATAGGTACTCCAAAAGGAGCGGCAGTCTTGTACACAACCACGCCAGCGGTAGCTGATCGCGATGTGATCAATCTGAGTCCAGGCTTGAGATGCAGAGGGAGGACGCCAGGTGGCACATCGGCGATGACTGTGCCGAAAGTTAGTGCTAGCCAGAAACAGGTTGTGGTCTGCGCAAAGTTGCAGTAGACGGTCCCCGTTATCTGACCTGCGACCAACGAGTCCCCATCGGCCACCTAAACGACTCTCTTCTGTGCCTAGACGCCCGACCTGAGCATTCAAGTCTCCGGCTAGTACTACAATATCTGTCGAACGCACTTTCTGGAGAAGAACTGATAACTGGTGGTCAAACTCATCCTTGATTGCATCCGGGCTGCAATCTGTCGGGGCATAGGCGGAGATGACGAAAAGACATCGTTTCTCACGCCGATTTCTTCTCACTTTGATGGAACTTTCTAATCTAACAGCACATAACCGACTGTTAATGGGGATCCAATCGACTAGTGCTGCCTCAGCTCTAGCGCTTAGTGCGACACCAACGCCAGCAAAACCAGACGAAGATGCCACAGGGTCCCCGGATAAGCGCACGTAAAACAAGCTTTTCGAAGCGACAGATGGAGATCGAATTTGTAGTACTTCGCCAGAGTCTTGAATACGGGTCTCGGATAGACAACACACGTCGATATTAAGACTTTCCAAAGACATAGCCAGCCCTATCTGTTGTCCGACCTGCATAAATGTGCGAACGTTGAAGGCAGCCAGTTTGAATGATGCACGTGGTTTCAGAAAATCTGCTTCAGTCCTCGTATTCGGTGGTAACATACAATTTACAACCGGACAGTGACTCGAGAACGTTTAGATACAGTCGGAATTCCACCAAAGACGAGCCGCTGTATAAGTATAAAAGAAGGTGAATAATGTGGAAAATAATAACAATAATGATAATAATAACAATAATGACAATAATAGTAGTAATAATAATATTAGTATTAATAATGACAATAATTGTAGTGATCATAATTTGAATCAATTGATTGTTTTTCAAAGCGACAAAGGTAATTTCCATGGACATAGAGTTCATCATTTGTGTGTGGGCTGTGATACTGCCCGGGTGCCCAAACCGAAGCAGGTGGTTATCTTAGGGGGCCACTCCCCGAGCCTTTGACCTAAAGGTCTAACCCACAAGGCAGTGGAGCATCGTAAGGAGATGCAGTCCCATGGTAGCCGGTGACCAACGATTGGTTCATACGCCATTCGTTCCCGCAGGATACTGGAGCCCATGTGCACCATTGGTTTGGAATCCGGTTAAAGCGCCGGACATTCGCTTTTCGTCCTCTCATTTTCGTAAACAACACCCCCGCCACGAGAAGGCAATGAGTAGGACTTCCCTGGCAGAGGCTATATACGCGTGGCCGTGTGAGAGTATTTCGAGAGGGAGAGCGGACTCTCCCCACTCTCGGCCGTACCAGGGCATTCAGGGGGCTCTGATTTTAATTACTTAATTTGTGCTGTGCTCTGAGTTATACTGTTAATTGAAGTACTACCTGCTTATACTCGGTTTCTTTTAAAGTTCAATCCTATATAGTATAGTATCTGTTTGATAATCTATACTTAAATTTACTGCCTGTAACCTCACATTAGTATACACACCTCGCATAACTAGTTGTATTGTATAAATTAACCTATGCCATTTCTTGAGAAAAGGTACTGTAATATGATCATATTATCCCTAGATGACTTGTTCACTTAGGAATATTTATACATTTTTCGTTTTAAAATACTAGCTAGCCTTAAATGAAGCTGCTGCTCAGATTTGCCGATTTCAACCCGGTTTACTTTTTCATAAACGAGATCTGTATCATCTTGCTAAGGAAACAGTTGAACGTTCACAGACCCTCTTAAATACGGAGAGAAGACAACAAAATCAACAATTACAACAGCAAGCACAACAAGCACAGCGACAACAAACTCAAGCAAAACAAAATATGAATGCTCAACGTCAAGCAAATCAAACAAATATGTCAAAACCAAAAGTTTCTCTCCCTGCATCTCAACCTCCACGTACTACACCTCAAACTGTAGCAGTTGGTGGTCGTGTAGCTAGTTCTCAATTAGCTATGTTGGAATCTCGCGGTCTTTCTGGTATTCAACAGTCAAGTACAGTAGTATCAACATCTAGTTCTATAACTTCTATTCATGAGAATTCTAATTCAGATAACTCACTTCTAACTTCGAATCTTCAAGGCTCAGGAGTAAATACGCTTCAGTCGAACAAACCACGGGTAATGACTAATGATAGCACGTAAGTGAGCGCTAAAATTGTCAGTATTTTCCATCATAAAAATCTAGTTTTTTAGTAGTTTTAACATTGTCTACTGGTGTTTATAGTGAAAATACTGGGTTTCCAGTCCGTCAGCTGCATCCTCGAATTCCATTTCACATGTTTCGTTTTGGAAAACTAAATATTAACACTCATACAATCAAATGTTGACTGAGATCTCAGTACATGAATCGGTACTTCACGTGGGCAAATCACGTTTTCTCATATAGTCTTAGATTCGGCTGCTATTACTTGATGATTTAATCATTGAATTTGATATTCATCAGGTCTTTATATACACAATCTCACTAAACTCAAAAAGTCTAGCGGTTTGTTTGACCTTTACAGTAGTTGTGGTTCATGTTGTATTTCATGAAATGTCGGGAATGAATGTGTAACACATTTTTTCTTAGATTTATTGTTTCGGATGAAGTTACTTGCTTCGCCTTTAGACATTATATTGTCATTTTGTGAACCATATTCTATCTACTTCATTTTGATTAGCTGGTTACCATCTCATCTATGTATACAGTTTTGTACTTGAGCCAACATAAAGAAATTGGTTGCTTTATAGGGCATTGTCATAAAACATACATCGTTTGTTAAAGATTTAATAAAATGCGTGTTTTTCTGTACAGTTCCTTGAAATTTCGGAACACTAGGAACATCGACATGCGGGCTAATGCACATTCAATTGGAAAGTCTAAAATGAAGTAAAACTGAAATTATTGATACACAGTAGTCACCATGAGAATAACTAATGACGATATCATACTACATATTAAAGCCATTGTCAGTCAGTCCTGTCGTAATTTTCTTGTACCATTCTTTATAAATGGTAGAGCAATTTTCTTAAATGAAGGGATTCTTCCTGATTGTATGTTTGATTTTGGTTGTTAATCGGACTGTTTCTTCTGTAAAGTACTATTCTCATTCCCTTACTTATCCAGGCATTTTGTGATGATATTTACCCACCTTCGTTTATCCCTTTACGATTTCATCCGATTATTGTGCGGCATATTGATTTTGATGCTCATTTGTACCAATATATGTGTTCAGATATATAAAAAAATAAAAATAATATCAACAGAATGTTCTCGCAGTCAAATGTTTCTTAGCGACTAATGTTATAACCGACATTGGATTGCGTTCGACAATTACGATTTCATAGAGTAAACTAAACTCAGGGTTTTTTTATTTGTTGTACCTAATTTCTTATAATAACCCGTTGTTTTATATACTACAAAGTCATTTTATTGTTTCATTGTCAAATACTCTCTCCTTACACTTTATTTCTTCATTTCTTGTCTATAACCATAGTGTTCAATACTTATCTAGCCTTCCTATTGCTAAACGTGATTCAGCATATAAAGTAAGTACTTGAATGTATTAGTTAATTTATTGCTTATTCGCATTTGTTTTATGATTATTTATTCGGACTTGTCATAATTAACATCATCTACATACAATGCCATAATAAGTAGCTCTTGTTTTTTTTTCGAAGTTCGTCCATCTATGAACAGTTCATCAAAAAATTCATTCTTAGTAATGAATTATTCATTAAATGTTCATTTTCACTATGATGCACTCCTCATACAACAATTACTTTGGTGATATACATTAATGCAAGCTGTAGTGAAAAGCCGTTCACTCTGTGACAGACAAGGTGTATTTTCTTGGGGGGGGGGTGTGAGGAGGGATCAAAATGTAATCAAACACTATTAATTATAGCGAAATTTCACCCAAATCGATTGTGTCAAGTAACATTCTATAGCACTGTTTACCTTATCCAGTTTCATTTGATTTTGATATTCTCGTATAGGTAACATTAACGTAGCAACTGCAATATTGTGATTTACAAACAAATTTTCGTTCAAACGATAAAAGTCTGAACGACACGACCTGGTTCATTTTTATCCAATATTTATGTGTTACCGAAAACAGCAATCTGTACCGAAGTTGTTACGTAAATACCGATGGTGATTATTGCTTATTCCAAATTAATAAAGTTCTTTAACGGTTTTTAAATGGGAGTAATGATCTACTGATCAATAAGCAATACAATAAGTCCGTATTTTTTTTGTACAAGATTTTTATTTGTAGAATTCATGATATCATGACTGTTTTTGAAGAAATAGTATGCTTCAGAAGATAAAAAATAAATTTCTGTATTTTAGCTTTTGCCTAACGAAGAGGAAGCCATTCGGATTGCTGCAGTTGATGTTTTATCAGATATGCCACAACTCCAAATCAAACCAAAAGCTGATTGTACAAATATCGAACGTGCTTGCTGGGATCAAGCTCGACAGTTGTCAGCACAAAATTTGGGACTCACAGATTATCACTCTGGTAATTCATCAGTTGAACATATTAATCAAATTCAATCCCTTGTGTCCAATGAACTCCGGTTGGATAGCGTTCGTGAAGCAGCTGCATTGTATGGGCGCCTACCTGGAGGCATCCAACCGCCAAACGTAGCAGGACTACCACGATCTACACCCGTACCTGTACTAACTCCGTATGAGGTTGCTTGTAATGAAGCTGCTTCTTATTTGGCTTCGGGTTTACCAAGCCTCCTCACTCATAGACGTGAACTTGCTGAATTAGCAAAGAAGGTGGTGAGAAATTCTGGATGTTTATTTACACATACTCCAACATCAGATAAATTGTAAGTTAGAGTTTCCGATTGGTTTTGGACCTATGGTGCAATTGTATTACCTTCTTATGGCATTATAATTTTTGATTTTTCCTTGGTTTTAGACCAATTGGTGGTGGTGGCTACCGATTCTATTGCTCAGATCAACTTCTTGAACTCGATCTTTCAGCAGCAGAACAACTTTTATCCAATCCTCTTGATGGTAGTGATTCTCCAGATTCTGGTTGTGATGTAAGCCTCGAAGACAGTGATACAGATGCTCTTTCATGTACGTTATTATATCGTGAAAAATAAGTAACTACTTGCTAGTTTACATACATTGTCTACTAATTGTTCTAAATATGTAACTGAAATCAATCTAGTGTTAGATTTAGTTGTTTTCGAAATTCGAATCCGTGATCTCAGATAATACAAAATATTCAGTTCGTTAATTGAAACTACTTAAAATCTAAGTAACGCAACAGAAAGAGAAAGTATGAGAAGGGGTTTTAGTGATTGTAGAATTTCCATAGTTTATATCAGAAAATCATATCACCTATCCTCCTCTGGAAAACTAAAAACACTGGACAGTTCTTGTAGTATAGAACTCAGTAGTGTGCATACACGAATTGTCCGGGATCCAAACCCGGAGCCTACCACCTCTCTCTCAAATGCTTAAACTATTAACTGGCGATCTGAAGTTCAATGGCGTACATGTCCAAATTCAATTCACTGCCTCTAGGTTTTTAGTAATGGCCTAACTATAATCAGTTTGTAATTTGGACTACGAAAAAAAGAATAATCAAACTACCAATCACATATTCGACATACATTATATAAATCAAGATGAAGAATATGTCTGCTACTACCAAAAACATATTGACCATAATCCACATATGCCAATAACAGACTGATCAATTGCAGTCTTAAACCTCAACGGGAAGATACAAGCCAAACAATACCAAATGGATTGAAATTCACCCCATTGCACAAGCAAGTGGCTATCAGGACTCAGTAGCTGAGTGGATAACGCGATGGCGTTTGAAGTGAATAGTACTGGGTTCGAGTCCCAGAGTGAACATCAACTCTGAGACGCAGGTACATCCAGTTGACGTGTCCCAAACAGGACGAAACGCGCGTCCTAGATTCCACTGTTCGCCACTATCCATCATTGCTTACATAATCCATAATATTTTATTCTTTCAGATATAGAACTTGATCTACAATAGTTCGGTCAATTTAAAATACTCATTCATATTTGTATTCGCACTGTTAGGTTTTATGAATCCATCAGAATCTATGCATTTTGTACTAATTTGTTTTCTTTTTCCATATAGCTAAATGTGAATCTCTTATTCTAACTTGTCAAGAGTGCAATAATGTTGTAGACGATATTACAATATTTATTTCTACTGGAACTGATTCTCTGAAGAAAGTTAGAATTCTGAAGTACGTGAATGTGTATTCTTTTCCTTCTGATTCTACATGAGCGTTTTCTCATGGTGGTCTCATGCAGTTTTATAGAATGGTGACTTCGTCGTTAGGGCTTTCAGCTACTAAGTTCAAGGTTCAAAGTGTGCTTCATTTAAAAAAACCTAGTAATATCATCAGGTCTCACCCTTAGAGTGTAGTTCATACCTAGTTACACGTGGAATGAGCCAGTTTTTCTTATAAAATGACTAGTTCAATTCATAAGAGCTAAGTTTTTGATAAACTATCGGGCACTGATTATCCAATGATGAGACTAACGTAGTGTGTCTTATGCTTCATTGGATGTTAATAGTATTTACGTCTAACTACACTTCCGAGATTGTACGTATATTTGAATTGATTTATGCATATCAAGCGCTACACTTTTGCTAGTTAATAAAGTTACATACGGAATTGATAATAGAAATCGAAGGAAAAACCTGGCTCTCTCACTATTCAAACCATATTTTTATCGTACCCAGTTTTTTTCCTACAGATTGACGAGACTCGTAACTGGCAATGAGGTCTTGATCTTGACCTTAAAGCCTTAGTTAAAAGGTATTAAAGTGATAATACCATTGGTAGGATCACAGTCATCCAATAGGTCTAGTCAGTTATTTTTTTATATTGCCATTAGATTTCTGTAAAAACTAAAGTAACAGTATTTTCTTATCATATGGTGGTTATTTTCTAAGGTTTTCCTGTATTCTAAATCATTTAACCTTTTTATTGCTTATTTCTTCATAGTTTAAGTGATTGTGGTTTTACCGGCATAGTCCCTGCCCATCTTAACCAATGTGTTAACCTAGTTGAACTTAATCTCTCTGGAAATGCATTGTATGCCTTCCCACGATGTTTGCATTTACCGAAGTTACGTCGACTAAATCTAAGTGGAAATCCTAATTTACTACGATCCACGCAACGTGGTGTTCCTGTCGAACCCCCACTTGTTGAACAATTCCCGAGATTGGTTACATTGGACCTGGATCCTGAACTCGCTCTTGTAGGTATAACCTCTTTTTCAGTTTGTGTTTACTGGTTTCTTATAAAATGGCATTATTTTTATTCAATTTAATCAGTTACCCTTTTGTCGATTTTATATTTCTAATGGTTTATACTTAAGTTGATAGCTTTTAGGTAATCATAGTTGTAACGCTCGTCATCATTCTTCAAAAAATTTGTGATAATGTAATATATCTCTGAGCTTCAAATTTCGCGCTGACAGCCAAATATCAGACGAATTTTACAGTAATTGCTACGGCTTCCGATTCACTGAAACTACCTCTCACTATCTAAAATTTTCTTCAGCTAGAACATCTAGTTTATATCATATTACTTACTCATTGTTTTCGTGCCTCCTATTATCGTCATAGTGCACTTATTTATCATGGCCATTAACAATGGATGGTATTCGTAGATTAGTAGTATTTCCGAGGCATTGCTTGTATATTTTGGGACTATCGATCGTAGCTGCTACCTTGATGTGATGACCGAGCTTACCTGTCTTAATGAGCCGGTCGAGCAATATTGTCCGAAACTGTTTTTTCAGTTCCCGCCATATCAGACAGGTTGGGGGGGGGCAGTAAGACTAAAAGCAATAAAATCATGTTCTGAAGGAGAAGCTGCACCACTGGTTGTACTGTGTGACATCAGTAACGTGTTTCCCTCAACAACCAACACCTGCACTGATTCCATCTTTTCATAAGATGAAGAAGGATTTGTAAAATGTCGACCCTAAGAATTTCACACCTTACTTTACCTCACGGATTTTTCGATCCAGTCCTAAGACTTGAAACGCAGAGCTAACACATTACATACTTTTCACAGAAATGCCATATGTAACCGGTTTCAAGCAGTTGTTCTTTAGGCTTTGTGGTCATGCTCGCAGGTTGCTACCATAAATACTAATTCCTTAAAGTTCAACTGTGTAAAGAAAACGTCAAAGCACATTTCTAGAAAAGCTAAAGATGTTAATTTCGATGTAGATTGACACAATACCCAGATAACCATGAAAACTGTAGTGATATGTACGAGTAACTGTGCCTAGAAGATTAAGAGTAATCAATTAATTCATACCAGTAGGCTTCGAACACGATGAGAGGTAAAGGCAACATAAGCATAGACTGACAAAAAGTCTACTCCATAATCATGAGCAGTAGTGGCTAGCTAAAGGAAAAGTGATAGAAAAAAAGGTAGTGGTGATAGACAACTAACATAGTTCATATGGTTTGTTTTTATCATTGTTTTTCTCTCATTGATTTCCATTTTACAATCTTTTTCATGTACTAAATACTTATAGACGCATTTCATTATCAGTGATTAATTAATAATACATTAAAATTTGACATTTTTTTCTCTTTATACTTTAGCTACTTTCTCCACAATCACTAGCCTACTTATGTCCATATCTAAAAACAATTAATGGTAAAGATTTTGTTGATGAACCAACTGAAGATACTATTAATACAGCTCAAACGGCAAAAAATGATTTATCAGCTTTGGTGTGTACTGTCGATACTACTTTTTTTTCTTTCTTTCAGTTTATATTTATTCTATGTACTCATGTTGGAATTTCGTTTATCTGTTTGTTATGCAATAACTGATTTAATAGATTCTGATAGAACAGTAAGAAGAGAGAGAGAGAGTTGATCTTCTCATTGTTCCATCGAAATTTATAAAACTGGAATTCTCAAGTTGATGAAACTATAGTTTATGAACGACCTTTGAGCGACGCCAAAGTGACTTTAAGAATGTACACCTAATAAATAAAACGAAATAAAGGTTCTAAACTAGTGTGAAGAATTAAGATTATGATTTTCGATTGATGATTAAAGTTAAGAATTAGATTTAGGATTTTCATCACGAACTAACATCAACTAAAATGCCAAAACGTTATTTAGCCAAATGAATGAGTGAATTTCACACCAAAATCAGAGACCTGTTATTTTATACCTGATTTATTTATTTTAACACATAGACATTGGTACAAGGAGACACCAAATACATATGCGCCACACAAATCTCATTTGATATGTGTGAGGGCTGTGATACTGTCCGGGTGCCCAAACCGAAGCAGGTGGTTTTCTTAGGGGACTACACCCGGAGCCTTCGACCTGAAGGTCTGATCCACGAGGCAGTTGAGCATCGTAAGGAGATGCAGTTCAATGGTAGCCTGTGACCAACGTTTGGTTCATACGCCATTTGTTCCTTCAGGATACTGGAGCTCATGTGCACCATTGGTTTGGAATGAGGATTTTCCAACTCCCCTAAGTGGACTCTCCGTGTTCATCAACCCGGTTAAAGCGCTGGACATTCGGTTTTCGTCCTCTCAATTTCGTAAACAACACCCCCGCCACGAGAAGGTAGTGAGTAGGAATTCCCTGGCAGAGGCTATATACTCGTGACCATGTGAGAGCATTTGGAGAGGGAAAGCGGACTCTCGACTGTACCAGGGCATTTGGGGGCATACCTGATTGGTTCGTCCATAAATTATAGTCTCGTTGATTTATTGAAAATAATGTCTGTTTTAATATGGTAGAAATTATAAATATTTATTATAAGTTTCCAAATATTATGCATTATGAAATCCTGTCAGCTTAAGAGCTAGCTAAAAAAAGAACAGATAGAATCCAAGAACTACACTACTTTATTTCGGGTCGGAATTAAGGTAAATCGTCAATTGTTTTGCGTGAAGTTTAAAGTACAATGATAAAAAAATACGTGTATGTTATTATTATTAACCAAATGAAAACTGGCAATATTTAGTTCTTAGAAGGCTTGAAATTAATGTAAATATACTATGCTATACAACAATAAAGTGAATTTTAGATGGTGCTTAATCTAAATTCTATAAATTACTTGAGATCAATTGTATGTTTAAGTACTTAATATTGTTCATTGCATAATCAAGAGTGTTTAGTGAAGCTTTTTTTTACTCTCACCCAAAATCTCAACCTTAAGTTTCACAAAATTGTAATAAACAACAAAATGGAAAGTCATTACATTATAGTTGATGGTAATTCCTGATCCCAATTTGTAAATCCATATCAAAACTCCATTTTAACTCTTAATACCTAATTTTAAACATTTTTGCATTTTAACTGATGTCAGTTTATAACGATAGTAGGTTGACTTGACACTTGTAAAGTTTATTGATAAAAATACATCATACTGATTCCTTCTGTAAATGTATTTGTGGTTGTTTCTCATTTACTGTATTAGATCTATTCAAAATGGGAAGATGATATAGCTGGATTTTACAAAAAAGGCTTACCTAAACGAGATACAATATGTGTTATTGAAACTCTTGTTTTACATGCTGTCAATCGAAGTTTGGAAATATCTCAACCATTTACCCATTGCAAAAATATTTTGGTAAGTATTAATATAGAGGTGTATTTGTCGATTCATTTATTCTTGTCTGGTTGTTATTCATCCAGTTATTATCAGTTTGTTTTTCTTTTTTAATTTAAAGGCTCGGAGAATCGCGGAAGATTTTCTGGCTCCAAAAATGTTGGATGATGAATGTGAAGATGAAACATTGGATAAATTCACACATACTTATATTAGTGATGATGAAGGTGCTGCCAGTGACAGTGAATTAGATACAGAAGAGGAAGATGATTCTTACTGTAAAGAAAATAATCATATTGAAAAAAATTCTGAAAATCAAATAAATGAACCTTTAGAAAAGTCACATTTACAAATGAACTCCTGTTCAGTTTCCACAGGTACGATACGTAAAAAACCAAAGAAAGTCATTTCAACAGAAGCTTTTCAAGCATCTGTTGCTGAGCGTGAGGCTTTAGCTGCTGCAGCAAACTTAACTTTATTACCGGATGAACCTCCTAATCGACTTATTAATGTGGTAGGTCAGGCTTTACGTCATGGGAAAACAGTTGTGTATGAAGTAATGAGAACTGCTGCTAGACAACCTGATGGCGAATTAATACCTGTTGGTGGGTTAGGGACAACTGCTAGTTCTACTAATTTGACTACTCTTCAAACCAATTCACAAATTGATGGAGCCTTAAAAAATCATCAGGAAGGTAAGCGTTGTTCAATCTTTTTGTCAGTCATATTTCATCCTTCAGTACAAAGCTCACTTAATTATACTTTTAAATTGTATGAATGTTATAAGTCAATGAGACTAAGGGATTGTTTGGGGAAAACGAAGTCGAATGACGAAGTACGGTACATAATATATTTAGTTCCTCCTTATACCAATGTCAGTGTGTTTAAATAAATAAATCGAATAAGGAAGGAGTATCCACTGTCATCCGTAATGTGTACGTGTGCAACAATAAAATGTCGGTTGTATTTTTATCTGAACAAGGAGATCTGAAATTATACGAATAGGTTTCTGTTGAACTGTTTCCTCTCCTGACCGTAGTTGTTGTCTTCCATACGATTGATTACTTGAGTTACCTACTGTTATCAACCATTGAAGCCGTATTGGTTTGAGCTCGTACTTGTGATTCTAAGGCTAGACAGATCTATCAATGTTGTGTCCTTAACTTTTATACGAATATCAAATATAGATACGCGGACTTATACGGGTACTTGTAGATTTGTCGATACCGGTTGGCGATAGTTTTATAACTCTTAGTTTAACATTTTCTCTTAAAATTACATTAGTCGTAACCTAAATGCATATTATTTTGTCCTTACTTCAGTACAATAGAAGGGATTATGTTTATGAAACTTTTCTATTCTTTTTTAGTACATAGATTTCTCATATTTAGCTCTCTATTGCATTTAAAGTTATTTATCTTTCATTATTTTTTTGTACATGCCTTTGAATTCGGTCATTTCGAACTATGTTCTCAATGTTCAACCTTTCTTATTATGTTCGCTACTACATCACAATTGAGCTTGTTATTTCCGTTGGGTAGCGTTAATGCTATATGGCAACTTGAATCAACGTACATTTATCCCAAGGTCTATGTTGATGATTTACTCTTGTTTGTTTTCCTCGTTGACTCTAGTGTTGAAATGCTATAGTGTGGACTTTTACAAATTAGTGACAGGTTTTTCGTTCACTACAAATTACTGATTGTTTCATACTGTGGTTATGTGAGGTTTCTGATTTATCTTACGTTTTCACTTGTTTCCAGATATGTATGATGAAAGTGATACAGAGAACACCTCTCTCTCTGAATCTATTCATCCTCAACCTCCAGCACCATCTGTTCCTACTCCCGTTAAAACTGCTCCTGTTATAACAAAATTACCAACTAAACAGCCAACAGGGACTCGAAGACCAGGTTTACTCAGTCGTGTTGCAAACACTATTTCTGCTGAAATCAAAGGCAATCGTGGTTCAGTCACATCCACAGGCTTACTTGAAAATTCTACGAGTGATATTCCTACAATAACACAGCGTCGTTTGAAAGCATCCGATTTTATCATCAAACCGTCTACAAGTTCTTCAGGTACTGCTTACATAGTTGCAAATGTAGCTACTCAAGCGAAACCAACCACTCCAAGCTCTGTAACCAAACGTGGTCGTCCTGCAATTACTCAAAGTTTGGCTAAAAAGTATGTTCTTATCCTACTAGTAATAGATTTTTTGTCTGAACTCAAGTTTATTCTCATCAAACTACTGAAGTAGACTACTTTTCACAACTAAGGATTTAGTTCATCAGTTTCTTTCGAACAAAGATTTAAATTATCTAGTAGCTAAATCTTTGAAAGTATTTTGGATAGGAATCTCAGCCTATTTTCTTTTATAATATAACTTCTTAGAAAGAGGTTTTTGAATTAGAAAGAAGAAACCGTGCTATGAAGTCCTGTACATGTCATTTCGTCGACCTACCAAAATCAAACTTTTCAATAATTTTTCATCTACTACTGTTTCTTCGACTACTTCCATCACTGTATACAACTAAATACTCAATACAGAATTGCTATTCTTACACACTTTTATACGTGTCTCACCATTTGAAATCCTTTGAAATGATTTATCTTAGTGTATGATTTCAACATTTTTTAAAACCTTTAGAGCTGCTGTAGCGGAATCGGAGGCTAAAGAAACCGAAAAGTTGTTGAAGAGTGTGACTATCCCACCTCCTCATGCTCCTCCTCCACCAACAATGCGTATGTCAACGCGAGATTCTAACAGGCATAAACGATTTAGTGCATACGGTGTCATTGACACTGCAGCAGCTTTGGCTGGTAAGGAAGAAGCTCTACTAGCTGCTGTTTTAGCTCAAGAAGATGAAGATAACGAAAGTCCAGAAACTCTTTTGAAAGATTCGTCGGTCGTTCTCTCTGAACATGATACTGCAGCTGCAGAAGCTGTCGCTGCTGTAGCGAAAGAAGATGAAGTGATGGAGCAAAATAATCAGCTAGAATCTAAACAGGATATATCTTTGAATTCGACTGCAGTTGAGCAGACAGCAGAACCTCTCCCCATTACAAATGACACTGAAGAGGGTACAAAGAAAAAGCGTAAACGTGTCACTGGACCTCAAACTCCTCGTGTACACACTGAACCATCGTTGGTTGATAATGAGCCTGAAACCCCAACGACTACCCAAACGCTTACTCGTAAACGTGCTGCAATATCACCTAAACCTCAAGAACCTAAAAGAAAATCAACTTCTACTCATTCTCCACTATCAGTGTCTGTTAATCTTACTCCAGTTGTTCTACCACCGGTAACAGAAAGTAAACGAAGTCTCAGTCAACTCGGAGAGGTACGTTACCAATTTCCCTAATTATATATAAGTCGTTATCTTCAATTTTATTGTAGTTACTTCCCTAATGTAACGTGTAATGAACGTGAACACAGGTGGGGACAACCAACTTATTAGTCCATACATAATTACAGAAATTCTTAGTAAAATGTGAGAACCATACAGTAAATACTTCATCATTAGTCCTTTACATCCTGTATAATTTTTTCCAATTCACAATTTCTTTCTATTCGCCTTCTACTGCCAAGTTCACCATTTCCTATTGATGTCAGATACTACATATATCGACAGACAAAAGTAGCATACACCACAATAGGAAATAAGTTCATTGTGTTCTCTGTTTGAGGAATTAAATTAACAATTTAAATGTTTTTATTATCATGGAAGTTTTCACCCCTTTTTGGTTGTTATGTATTCGATCTGCAAGTCATAGTGAATTGAGTTGTACATTAGATATACACTGATGAACATCCTTGAAGATAGAAGATACGAGGGAATCCGCTGTAGTTTTCTGATGTTATGAACAACAGGGTACTTAGTAAATCGTTTCGTACATAATTTTGTTATTTATTTGTCATATTTTATGATATTCCATCCTTCATCTAACTAGAATGTTGTTATCATGCATTGAATGACATATTTCTTGATGCCCTATTTTTCAAATCTGTTTTCTCTGTAGATGTAATAGTCACATCACATCCATTATCCACCACATTTCAGACCTTTATTAGTATTGAATGGTGTGAACTGTCGTTGTCTAATTTTTTTATTCTCTAAGCTAAATATTCTTTCATTCGGACTTTTTTTGTCGTTGTCACTGTATATTTCACCATATATATGCTAAACTTTCTCTTTTCTAGATTGTTGACTATGATCCTCTACATTTTATTCGGTGTCACGCACGAGACAACGATCCATTAGATTGCGAAACTAAAGTATGGCGATGTGCATTCGAACCAAGTGTTAATAATCCAAGCAATGAAACGTCAACTATTGTAGCTACATGCGGTGGAGAATGTGTCTGCCTTATTGATTGTAAATCAGGACGTGTAATGAAACGTTTCAAACACTTTGGTGAAGTGAGTACACTAATTTTCTGATTTGTCCGTATGAGCTACATTATAAACAACGTAGTAAATGTTATAGAGTATTCAAGTGACCTAAACAATAATTCATTTGATGAATTAAGCTCTTGATCCCAAAGAAATGGAACCGTCATTAGGAGGTCATAAGACAAATCACACTGATGATGGCTTCCAATAAAATCAATAACTTGAATTCCATTCAAATCATGAACCGATCTAAGTTAGATCCACTATTAAAAACGTGAAATCACTGGACGGTTACTTTGTCCTCGTATGGAACGAAATGGGCATCTAGTGCTTCCAAGATTTCAATGCTTGTCTAACTTAAATCGGTTCATGATTCCAATGAAATCCAATAGTCTTTCCAACTCCCCATACTCTAAAGGGTAATTATTAAGTTGTTGATTTTGATTTTCTGTATTTATAAATATTACATTGATTTCAGTTAATACATCTTACTTAAGCTCCCTTGATGTATATCATCTGCTGATGTATGTTTTGGGGAGTGGTCCCCTAAGAAAACCACCTGTTTCGGTTTGGGCACCCGAGCAGTATCACAGCCCTCACACATGTCGAATGAGATCTGTGTGGCGCATATGTATTTGGTGCCTGATTGTACCAATATCTCTGTGTTGAAATAAATAAATAAATAATGATGTATGTTTGACAGGTTAAATTTAATTATAGTAATTTGAACTTTACATTATGCTGTTATGTATTAATTGAAGTCATGATTATGTGATATTTCTGTTATATAACGTTATTAAATGTATTATTTGTATTTTGTTAGGAATTTTACACATTAGCATGGACGACTGTTGAAATGGCTGCGGGGCACAGAACAAATCTGTTGGCTGCCGCTGGTAAACTACGTGAAATTCGATTATTACATCCTGAACAATTAGTATGCTATGCTGAAATGCGCGGTCACAAAGATGATGTTGCTTGTATGATATTTCATCCTGAAAAGCCTACTATCTTATTTTCTGGTGATTCTAAGGTAATTTCCCAAAATACATTTATTTATTCATGTATATCGGATATTTGGACCTGTATTTTGATGTTTAGTACTTCAGTCAATCAGTCTTTTGCTACATGTGCATCATATGCGTATCGCCCTACTATTCCCATTAAGTTGCATGCATTTTTAAACATAGACGGATAGTGTCTAGTAGTGGAATCCAGGACGCTGGTTTCGCTCTATTTGGGACTTGTCAGTTAAACATATCTGCATCCCAGTGTTAGTGTTCACTCCGGGACTTGAACCCGGTATCGAACGTCATCTCGTTGCTCACTGAATTCAGATTATCCCTAACTTGTTCAACAAAGTGAATTCTAGTTCATTTTTATGTTGGGTTTTTAAAGTTTCTCATTGATTTCGAGACTGATTAATTTCAATCCTCAACACTAGTAAGAAGATACAAATGTCCAATACAAATATATATCTAATCTAGTTTCACATTTTTAAGTGCTTTGTCCTCCTTTTATTATTTCATGTAGGACACTTTTAACCATCATAGCTTTTTATTATTTCAATACCTCAATACGGAATTCGTCCGTGTACGGTGTTGTAGGGAATGGATTGTACTGCATCTCCAATTATCTGAATTCATTTCAAACAGTTGCTTATTCCAAATGATTGACTACTTAGTTACTTTCCACTGTATTATACAGATTATCATTTAGTAGTAATTGTAACATTTTGTATTAAATATATTTGCCTGTGTAATCTCTCATTAAGCGAAAGTATCTTTTGTTTCCGAAGTTCTAATATGACTTACTTAGTTACTCTTGTTACTCCCAATGGAGCATAGACCGCCGATCAGCATTCTCTAACCCAATTTGTCCTGGGCATTCCTTCCTAGTTCTATTCAATTGTTGTTCATTCTTCTCATATCTGTCTCCATTTCTCGGAGTAATGTATTCTTTAGTTTTCCTACCATCCTCCTTTGGCCTTGAGGATTCCATGTGAGGTGTTGCCTTGTGACACAGTTGGATGCTTTCGTCAATGTGTGTGTCCTATCCACTTCCATCACTTCTTCCTGATTTCTTCCTCCCTTGGAATGTGGTTCGTTCTCTCCCAGAGTAGATTGTTGCTGATAGTTTCTTGTGAACGGATGTGAAGTATTTTGCATAGGTGACTGTTAATAAACACTTGTATGTTTTGGATGATGACTTTAGTGGTTCTCCGAGATTCCTCCCCATAGAATAGAAGTGTATTGAGATTTGTGTTTAAAATTCTGACGTTGGTATTGGTTGAGTGTTGTTTTGAATTGCAGATGTTCTTCAATTGTAAATATGCTGTTCTTGTTTTGCCGATCCGAGCGTTCACATGTGCAGGAGATCGACCGTGTTCATCAATAATGTTGCCCAGATGTTTAAAGGTTTTACATTTCCTCCTTGACCCCTTGGGGCTACTGCCGTTCTCAAGCCCGGACAAAGGAGGAGGGTTGGGCATGGGGTTAGCGACCGCATCCCGCTTACTTGAAAAATAATTCTAATATGACACATTACATTAATATTGATTGTGTAATAAAATGATTGTGTTTTTTTTTTCAAATTTTAGTCCTGCATTTTAGTATGGGATATTGGTATACCATCTGCACCGGAATATAAAACACGTCATCAACTACTTATGCGTTTAGTATGCCCTAGAGCTAATTTAAATCCTGTTTTAAATCTTGTATTTTTAAAAAAATACGATGCCCTTGTTGCAGGATGTGAAGATGGAATATTCTCTTGGACATTGAAAGATTTTCGTAAAGAAAAATTAAGTGATGAAAAGTAAGATTATTTTTACATACCATTTCTTTCTCATTCATTATTTGAATCATGAAATCTTCAATTAGTTTTGTATTATCAATAAAAATATTATTTCTTACTGTGATATGTGCTACTGATGTCGATAGATATAAGTATTATGTATCATCAATCGATTATGGAATGTTTGACAGAAGAAGGTTGAGAAAATCGAAGAGAAGTGAATCAGTTTGTTAGTAGTTATGTAGTGAATAAAGACTTAATGAGAGAAATCCTACATTCAATACATAATCTGCTTATCTTCTTTGAGCTTTCCTTTACATACTCTATTATTCTTTCAATTCTGTCTTTATTTCCGTGGGGGGGGAATCAGTTTGACTATTGCCGCCTCCACCACTAAGGGATTTGAATGGACAACTGAATCTCTGTGCTAATGTGGTATGGCAACTCGAACTGATGTATGTAAGTGCGAAGTTCTATGATGCTACTGACTGACTGTTCCCTCTTTTCCTTCGTCTTCTCTTTATTTCAATCTTCTACTGGTATTCCGTGTTCAAATCCTGTTATACATCCTACTTATATCTGTCTGCATATTTAGCTCACACGATATCTATACTAATTACGTACTAATAACATATTTCCTACTAATTAATAGTTTCTGATTATTTATTATGTGTCTCGTTTCATCTTTGAATGGATCAATAAATGTTCGAAACTAAACCAGAAGAGTCTTCCCATTCGGTTGTTGGTGAGGTTATAGTTATTTTTCCATTTTCAGTTTAAAGCTATTGAGTAGTAACTCTACCCTGGCAATCAGTCGGTAGCCAGGGTTTTAATTAATAATATGACACCTAGTTTCTAAGAAGTCGTTTGTAGTTTTTCGTAATATCTAACAGCGAACGTTTCCTCTCAAGGCCATGTGAGTGAATTGATCGAGTGAGTAATCGTTTTTAAAACATAACCATTATGTCATAGATTTCATTGCTTGTGTACACAAGCACACTATTTCACTTTTTGCATTGTAATTTGTGATATGTAGAATTTTTTAAATGTTCATGTTTCAGAGAAGCTGAAATTGAATTGAAAGTTCCTACTCGTCGTGAACCATGTTTTGATGGTTTGGCTCAATTATCAGATGATTTAATTGTAACAAAATGTGTTGAGGAAGGTGAAATTTATGTTATTAACTTTGGACAGGTAATATTCTATTTATAATGTTGTTCTTTTTAAAATTGCTTTATTAATTATAAATCAATTAATAAAGGTTCCCAAATACCCTGGTACGGCTGAGAGTGGGAAGAGTCGATTCTTCCTCTCAAAATGCTCTCATATGGCCATGTACATACAACCACTACCAGGGAATTCCTACTCACTGCCCTCTGGCGACGGGGGTGTTGTTTTCGAAATTGAGAGGACAAAAAACGAATATCCGGCGCATTAACCGGGTTGATGGACACGAAGATTCCACATGAGAGATTTGGAAAACACTGATTCCAAACCAATGATGCACATGGTCTAGCTCCAGTATCCTGAAAAAAAGAAAAAAAATAGCGTATGAACTAATTATTGGTCAGTGGCTACCATGGGACTGCATCTCCTAACCTTTTGATTGAAGGCGCCGGGTGTAGCCCCCTAATAAAACCACCTGCCTCGAACAATTTATATGGCGTATATCTATTTGGTGCATCCCTTGTACCAATGTTTATGTGTTTAAATTAAAAAATTAATTTTTGTTTTTCAAAATTTCTCATTACATATAGGTTGTTAATCGTCGTAGACGTAGTGGTGCATCTAATAAAAAATTAATCAATGTTGAAATTCGTGGTCAATTACGTTGGCATACTACAGAAGAAATTTATATTAATGTTACTGCTAGACCTGGTTTACATGCTGTAATATGTGGAGATAATGAAGGTACTATATGGTTATATGATCTTCAAAAACAAGTTATTGATGAATCAGAAAATCGTAAATTTAAATCAAAACCTGTAAAGGTAAATCACAATTTCTAAAAAAAAAAATTTACATATCAATTCCTCCTTGTTTCATAATATTAATATAAGACATTACTTTGTATGTTAATGGAGATATGGCAACTTGAACTGATGCACATATATATGTACCTTGATCATACGTTGTAGCTAACTGAATCCTTTTCTTATTTCTCTTTTGCTTCGTTGTATGTGTTTAAGATCTTAAACATCTTGAATAGTGATAAGTCTTGCAAATTGAACGCTATATTCGTTTTCTAAGCTATTCACGTAACCCCCAAGCTAGAACTATACAGCGACCTGAACACGAAAGAGAAGGTGCAAAGTATGCACGAAGTAATTTATTCCAAAGGTTCATTCTAATACAGATAAGTAATAGTGAGGTTAGACGCAGGGTATTAGGGAATGATGGTAAATCAGTTGATGAGGTTGTTAATCTTCATCGACTGAGATGGTTGGGCCACGTGTTACGTATGGCCGAACACCGATTACCACGACGTGCAATGCTAATCGGTATTGGAAATGGTTGGAAGAAAGTTAGGGGCGGCCAATCCAAAACGTGGCATCAGTGCTTGAAGTCACTAACTTCTAGACTGAGCCATGTTGGTAGATGCAGACTACTTGGTTGGGGTTCGCGTGACTATCGTAACCAATGGTTGGAGACTCTTGGTGACATGGCTCAGAATCGATCACAGTGGAGTACATAGGTGTGTACACTATTTGTCTACCCTTAAACAGTGAGATTAAAATCATTTCATATCTTTCTTTCTACGAACTAATTTTTTCTTCCTTTACTGTATCCTTATATGCAATCTTTCTTTTATATATTACCACCTCTGAATTAACTACTTTTATGAATTCGGTGTCCATCTGGTTGTGTTAATGAGGTATGGCAACTTGGTCCGATGCATATATATGCTTGGTCCTACGTTGTAGCTGACTGATTGCAAGCAATTTTCTGGATCACCCCAACAGATAGTTTTACTTGTTTCCTTTCATTCACTTTTTAGACTCCTCATTAGTTATTCTCCTTTTAACTATCTATCTTTTAATAGTTATTGTCATTTTTTGTTTAAGAATATCCATCATTACTTGTATTCTAATCATTTAATTGTTATATATTAATATCCCTTGATACTTTTTTTGTTCATTGTATTATCATATCAAGTTGACCTATGGCTTCATTTGTGTCAAGTAAACCCATCGATGTTTTGTAATTAGATTTAGTTCTTTTTGAGAGCTGTTTTGAACATAGTTTTCATCATTCTTTAGATACCAGTGGGTATCATGCATTCCATCTTATCTTGATTCATCGCGTAGTGAACGAGAACACTAGTATATGGGACAACCAAGTACAGTAAATACATTATTTGCAAAATATCCATCATTTGTCTCAAACTTTTTTGTTACTTCGTCTTCATGCCAATCACTCTGTTCGATTTTCTCAACCTTCTGCTACTAGATATTCCACTTCCGATGTGTGATACATACTACTTATGTATGTCGACATTAATAGCAAACTACAGTAATTCATTTATTCGTGCACTGCTGAATAACTGATGAAAAAACTATTTGGCGCCATTTAACAAATTCACGGATCTTACATTAACTGTTATTAATGTGATCCGGTTAAGTTATGATTTCCATCTGATAATTATTTGATGTATTTCCCGACCGTTGTTGCTACCTTGACGTGGTGGTCGGCCTTGCCCATCGTGGCTGGAACAGTCGTTCCTCAAGGTCCGAAAGCGAAGTCGTACTACTGACTTTACAGAGGTTTGACAGCAGGCAGGTGTTTCCTTCAGACAACCAGCATAACAGCAATGCTGCCTTCCCACTAGGAGGGGTGAGGTTAGAAAAGGTCGAGCCTAAAAATACACATCTCGCCTTATCCCACGAATATCCGTCTCTGGAGCCAAGGTTTCAACAATTACGGAGCTAACACGAAAACTATTCACAAAAAGGTCGTTTGTGGCCAACATCAAGCACTTGTCTTTTGGGCACTGCGTTCACACTCTCAAATCACTGAGACCACCCCTAAACCCTTCCAAGATGTGGGCAACCGGGAAGTGATAACCACCGCCCTCATACATCTAACAGCACTCACGGCCACTGACTGGTTGATTCATTATATATTGGCCTATCCTATCTACAATATTTTATATTATTTTTTTCCTTAATTTATAGATTCTTGAATGGCCTGAATGTAGTATTGGTGGAGCAAAAGATGAAGATAATCGAATTAAAGAAAGTATTACTTCCGGTTTTAAAAATCCTGTAGTGAATACAACTGATATTAGTCATGATGGACAATATTTAGTTGCTGTAACTGATAATAATTTAGTATGCATTTGGAAGTTTTCTGGCTAACCATTAGAAGAAGAAAATTTTTTATATTTCTATTATTACTTATTTATTCTTCTCCTTCTTTTTTTTTTCTTTCTTCCAAGAATAACTCATTGTTCTTATATCTATGTATGTATATTTGTCTCATATCCGTTCGATTATTTACGCTGTAATATTTTCATATATATACACCTTAAATTATGTATTTTTATCATATTATATTACAATACATATTACTAATCATGCATTGCTTACTTACTTACTTACGCCTATTACACCCATTGGAGCATAGACCGCCGATCAGCATTCTCTAACCCAATTTGTCCTGGGCATTCCTTCCTAGTTCTATTCAATTGTTGTTCATTCTTCTCATATCTGTCTCCATTTCTCGGAGTAATGTATTCTTTAGTTTTCCTACCATCCTCCTTTGGCCTTGAGGATTCCATGTGAGGTGTTGCCTTGTGACACAGTTGGATGCTTTCGTCAATGTGTGTGTCCTATCCACTTCCATCACTTCTTCCTGATTTCTTCCTCCCTTGGAATGTGGTTCGTTCTCTCCCAGAGTAGATTGTTGCTGATAGTTTCTTGTGAACGGATGTGAAGTATTTTGCATAGGTGACTGTTAATAAACACTTGTATGTTTTGGATGATGACTTTAGTGGTTCTCCGAGATTCCTCCCCATAGAATAGAAGTGTATTGAGATTTGTGTTTAAAATTCTGACGTTGGTATTGGTTGAGTGTTGTTTTGAATTGCAGATGTTCTTCAATTGTAAATATGCTGTTCTTGTTTTGCCGATCCGAGCGTTCACATGTGCAGGAGATCGACCGTGTTCATCAATAATGTTGCCCAGATGTTTAAAGGTTTTTACATCTCCCAATTCTTCTCCGTCAAGTGTGTTTCGATTGTTGCATACTGTGTTTTATCGAAGAAGCTTGCTTTTCCCTTTGTGTACATAATTATTTCATGGTAGTATTTTTCTACCTACAAACTCTCCACTATTGTTGTACATTTGGTGCCTTTATGCGTTAGTTCATTTATACATACACATGCAAGACTTACTCTTTACCCAGTTTTGAATATGTTTAATTCTACAGGCTATAAAACTTCAAAGTGGCTTGTTTGAGTTCTGATACCTCTACACAAATAGATCGTTAAAAGAAACGTTGTAAATGTCTTTGTATTCATTTTCAGTGTAATCTGTATATGTGGATTCTTTTTTCATCAATGTAGGATTAGTCGTGGCAATCAGCTATACGTTAACAGCAAATAGATTTTCGAATCTCCGAGGTTAGTTCCAAAAAATCACTTTCCAAGATGTACAATGAAGGTTCATTTTAACAAAATGATGGAATAGCGATCGGTCCATCTTTATCGTTTATCTTAGCTAATTTTCTTCTCGTACGTTGTCATAATTTACACAGTGAGAAACTTCAAAATATAATGGAGAAAAGGTATTATAATGTGACTGGGTTTCTTCTGGTACTATCATCATTTTTACCTCATGAGTCGGATGCAGCAGTCTATGTAGTTTTGTATGTTTTTCAGGAGTTCATTATTGAAACAGCAAAAATCTTTATTAAATGTTTTGTTTCGTGTTGAATTGACTGTAAGCCAAATGTAGTTAAGCAAGCGCTATGAAAAAACTATGACAAAGATATTGTAGGAATAGTAGCGTGATTCCAAAACCTAACTATATGGTGATGTCGAAATTGCCTATTTTCCTGAGAATTTCACTTGGTAAGCTGTTTGACGTTTGTAGTGATGGATCGAAATAGACAGGATTACCCCTAGATAATCTGTGTCATATTATAACTGGGATTAGAAAAAGGCTCTACTGTCCAACTTGGACCAAGAATTTGTTTGAACCTATTTCAGAATAAGATATTCCATCAGATAAACTACTTTCATGTTTGTTGCATAATAACGTACGTACTAATATCAGAAGGGGTCTTGTGGAGATTTTAGTAATTTCAATAGTTGAGATCATGAGTCGATTGAAGCTAGACCACCATGGAGAACTTGCAAGCACTGGACGGCCGTTTTGTCCTAGTGTAGGACTCCTAGGCATTGCGCACCCACGACCCCGCCTCTCGGGATTCGAACTCAGGACCTACCGGTCTCGCGCGCGAGCATTTAACCATGATACCACAGCTGGCCGACATTCAACGGTGTTAATGTCTAACTTCAACTAATCCACGAAATAGACCGACATCCACCATCGTCTTCAGTGAGTTACTATCTCACAACTGACTCGGTTGAACTCCACTGGTCATAACTTCGTACTAGAACTCCAGGATGTACATCTTAAAGCCAGTCACTAGTGAGCATATGTTGATTAGTATAGTGGGTGCGCACTGCTGAGGAGTCCCACAATAGGACGAAACGGTCGTCCATTGCTTCCAAGTTTTCCATGGTGGTTTAGCTTCAATTGATTCATGATCTCAACTATTTTGCAATTGTTGATTTTTTCTGTTGTTCATAAGGTAACTAGTGTAGGGTCGAAATAAGTTATAGACATGTTGATGTAATCAACCACAAGGAACATCCAATGTTATTTCATAATGTTGACAAAATGATAAATCTGATTCTGACAAAAACGATAGTAAAGTGTTTGTAACGACAGAGATATTAGTATGGGAATTTCATGGAGCCTTAAATATTTAGACTGTAGAATTTGTTGATATTTGAACAATGAAATTAATCAGTTATAGCATACATAAATTGTAATTTGAAGGACTAATATGATGACTTGTAAAGTTTGCAAATGAAACGGAAACAGTTGCAAAGTAGGGTTAATCGATCATCAAAGCCACAGCTAAAAATAAATTAAGGTAGTACATAATAGTTCCTATGAGGTTTATGCTCGCCCAATTTTGTGGATTAGTTGAACACTATCGGATCTCGTCTTAGTGGTCTAGAGGTTGAGCGTACGCGTGTAAGACCAAAAGCCTTTGGTCCGATTCCCTTTTATGGAGGTTTGTTGATGCCCACTGCTGAGGAGTTTTGTATTAAGATGAAACAGCCGTCCAGTACACCAAAGTCAGAATTCTCGGCACCAACGTTAAAACATTTCAATTGTACGGTGACGAGCTTTGAAAAATCTCAACTATCATCAAAAAGTACAAGCATTTATAAACAGCTGTCTGTACTCCAGATCCGTTGGCCAGATGGCGTCAGCAACCAGCCTCCAGATGAAGGGAAAATTAGGAAGAGACAATGTAGGTGGATAGATAACACTACGAAAACCGAACTGCATTACAAGGCAACCCCCAACTTTGAGTCTCCAAGGGAAGAAGGAAAGAGGCATGCCAATGAACACATCGCGCCGAGAATTCGGGTTACACATTGAAAGCATGAAAAACACTTCGCAAACACTAAGAAATTGAGTCGGGAATAAGTTACGTTAGAAATCCCTAGTAGCTGGCCTACGTCTCACGACGAATAACAGGTGAAAATAATTAAATAAATAAAACTTATTAATTCCAAACTTTCAATCGTTGTATAGTCATGTATTACTGAAAACGATAATGTTGATTTCAAAATTTTTCATACGGGCCACGTCTTAAGATTGTTTTGCATATCGACACATTTCTTCCACTGGTAGCAACCATACATTCAAAATTATCACTTTCTCTGTAGCATTCACTTGATTCCTCATCATCAGTTAGTTGAGGTAGATCAGGCTCACCTTTAGTCTAGAGGACATACAAAGTCGTCGTTCTGCATCAATCATCTAGGTAGGATGGTTTAACGTCATCATATATGAAAGACACCTCAAAATGTTTACCAATACTAATTAATCACGTACAAATATATTGTGTTGAGGGAAACCATATAATCACCCAATCTTCTTGTTCTAAGCCATGAATAAAGTGTGTGGGATCGTTTAGTCTCACCCTTTACTCACAACACCACTCATGTAATATTTATGACGAAACTGTCATGTATCACAGAACTTTGTACTCTATGTATATTTCCTGGGAACTATTGACTCAAATGATTCCAGGAGTCAATGGTCTTGGCAATTATCATGCACACTTTTCAGTGCATAAGTTCACGACAGATATTCAATAATGCTAATAGAAAACGAAACCGTGGACGAGAAGTGGTAGTGGTGTGCTTTAGTGCAGCACATATTTTTCGAGCACTTGAAAGTAATCAAAACAATTCTCTGAGCAACTGTGTTTGGTTTGCACGACAACGCAACCGATTCATTGACAAACATATGGACTTGTATTATATATGATAGCCTTCAGACGATATGAATTACAAATGACGGTTCATTTTGTTTGGTATCTTAAACGTATCAACAAAAGTATGTTAATATCGAATGAAGGATAAGTAAATCAAAACGACTTAAATTTACGCAGCATACATCAAATCAGTGACGCATGTCAACAGAATGAGTTGTTAGTTTCCGTAAAACATCGGTTTCATCATCAGGGAAGTCCTACTCACTACCTTGTCGTGGCGTAGATGTTGTTTGCGAAATTGAGTGGACGAATACCGAATGTCCGGCGCTCTGAACGGGTTGGTAGTCATGGAGAGTCTACCTAGGGGAGTTGGAAAACCCTGATTCCAAACCAATGGTGCACATGGGATCCAGTATCCTGAAGGAACAAAAAGCATATGAACCAATCGTTGGTCACCGGCTAACATGGGACTGCATCTCCTTACGATGCTGAACGGCCTTGTGGATCAGACCTCCAGGTCGAAGGCTTGCGGTGTGGTCCCCTAAGGAAACCACCTGCTTCAGTTTGGGCACCCGGGAAGTATCACAGCCCTCACACATATCGAATGAGATTTGTGTGGCGCATATGTATTTGGTGCCTTCTTGTACCAAAATCTATGTGTCAAAATAAATTTTTGAAAATAACCATTTATAGATGTTCTTTAGAAGAATTCATCTGATCTATTCTTCATAATCATATCAGTTTAACTACTCATGGTTTAAATGAAGTATTCTTATATGTTAATTGTAATTGCTCTTGGATAGTATTGAAAACATAGACACAAAACTAGTAGCTATTTACTTGGTATTGTTTGGCTTGTATCTTCCCATTGAGGTTTAAGACTACAGTTGATCAGTCTGTTATTGGCATATGTGCATACTGTGCGTATGCCTCGATATTACCTTAATTCACAAGCTTTTTATGAGCAATGATGGATAAAGGCTAGCAGTGGAATTCAGAACGCGCGTCACTTCGTCCTATTTGGGACTCATCAGCTGGATGTACCTGCATC